CCGGAGCGCGGATTTAGCGATCCGCACTCACGGGGGCAACTTGGCTATTAGATATATAGATATTTACCCACTGTGCGCAGTTGGAGGCAAAGGGGCAGTGGATCCATATCCAGTCAAGGGGGACAGGGTGGAGACTGTGTACCCCTAGCGCCAAATCTGTTTGCTTCTCCCTTTTATGTCTGTTCCAGATTCAACATGCACAAACATACTTGCTTCCTTCAGCTAGGAGGGGCCACCTTCTACAAGCTCTGATCGGTATTTGAACACAGCGACCAGGGCACCAACCCTGGACAATTAAGGCCCATTAAGGAACACTCTCTCTGATCTGGATGGCTCGGTAATGCCTGATCTCATCAGATTTGTTCCTCTCTTGCCTTGAAAACCCTACAGGGTCACCATGAGTCAGGCATGACTTGACAAGCACTTTCTGCCACCAAGGAATGTTCTTGCCTCATAGCTCCTGGTTCCCACAAGGTGGGCCAATTTAGGCTCCGCCCACTCACAGGAATTGGGCAGCAAACCAGAAAACTACATGACGTAGAGGGGATATTACTCACTGTAGGTGTCTGTCACTGGCGTGACTATGTCCCCAGATACTTTGTCCCACCGGTAGGTCGGAGAAGGCAAACCTCCCTCAGAGAAACAATACAGGGAGATGAGGTGGCCCATCTCAGGTGTCCCACGAAGGCTGCAGTGAGGCTGGGCTGGCGGGACTGGAAAACAGCAGTAAAACAAGGGACTAAGGGATAAGTCCTGGATGAGATCTCACTGTACTGTTGTCACTGTACTGTTGTCACTGTTGACACTGCCACCACTCTGGGTTTAGGTTCCCAGAGCACCCTCCCAAGACCTTCAGACCTCCCTTTTGGCCAAATAACAGGTGTGAGGACCAGGCAGAGTGAAACAAGGAAAAGGTTTATTTTATAGGAGGTCAAACAAACAAGGTGCAGAATAATAACAGTAAGTGGGTGAAAAGAAAAGAAAACAAATGCCCTAACGTGTCTAAATATATACCGTCCCTAGCTCACTATTCCAAGTGACACTAGACTACTCACCCTTCCCTCAGGATGAGGGTTTCTTCCCTGCAGCAGCCTTCCTTCTGGCTCTGCCCTCTTGGAAGAAAGAACAGCTTCTGCTCTGGCACCAGCCCTTTTGTTCCCTAGCCCTCTTCTTCCCTATTGGTCAATTTTGGCTCCAAAACCTCCCAGGGGCTTCTGGGAGTAGTAGGCCCAGCCTCACCTACTGCTAGCCAGGCTCCCTGGGCCTAGTAGGCCTCTGGTGGCACAGCCCAGATCATGACAACTGTTATCATAAATACTTTGTCAAGTTATTAAGACGTCCTCCTGAAATTCAGTGGTCTCTGTGTGGTGGTCTCCGAGCTATTCAGTAAAGCAAATGGTGACACAATGCGAACAAATTTGCATTCCTGAGGAGGGGCCACGGTTCAGTGCCAGAGCACATGTTTTCCGTGCAGGAAGTTTCCGTCCTTTTGTGATGGCGCTCGCCATTTCCTCTCAAAATTCAAAAGGTGCCCACAGGCTCAGAAAGGCCGGGGACCCCTGGATGACATGCGTTCACCTCTGAATCCAATGTTGATTTCACTTCCCTCCCACCAAACTTCAGGCCAGCAGTCTGCCTTTTAAAAATTATATTTTTCAAGAGCCTTGAGAGTCTATCTGATTATTTCCCCCCTATTGTCTTATTTTTTGTAAGCCAGGTTTCGTTTTGTTTTTATGAGCCAGTTTGGTGTAGTGGTTAAGTGCGTGGACTCTAATCTGGGAGAACCGGGTTTGATTTCCCCACTCCTCCACTTGCACCTTGAGCAAGCCATAGTTCTGATAAGACCTGTCCTTGAAAAAGAGCAGTTTCTGTCAGAGCTCTCTCAGCCCCACCAACCTCACAGGGTGTCTTTTGTGGGGAGGGGAAGGGAAAGGAGTTTGTATGCCGCTCTGAGACACCTTTGGGTAGTGAAGAGCGGGGTATAAATCCAATCTCTTCTTCTTCTTCTTCTTTTGGAAAATTGCTTTGGCAACAGATGAGGAGGTGGTTTTCTGATTTGACAGGAGTCAACCAATCAGGACTGCATGCGTCTCTCTTCTGCTGGAAACCACAACAAATGGTTTCTCCTGAGATGAATCATGCAGAGACAATTGCATGTCTGACCAAAGTGTGAGGCTTATATTCCACAGCAGTTTACAGTGCAATCCTAAAAGCACTTTCCTGGGAATAAAGTAGATTAAATAAAGTAGAGTAGACATGCTTAGGTTTCCTCCCTTAATCACTCTAATTACGAATGCCTGTAGACCCAAATCCTGTGCCTGGCGTGGTCCGTCACTTCCGGGTGACGTGCATGTCGGGGTGGAGTTCCCCCCGGGGCCCGATCCACCGGCGGTGGGGAACGGGCCTCTGGGACGGGGGTTTCCCAGCCCCCCGGGGGGACGGCAAGCCTAAGCGCACAGGAGCGGAGCTCCGGCAGTAAAGAGCCCAGGGGGTGGGCACATGCAACAAGCCCCGCCCCCTGCTCCCAGCAGCCCTGGGCCATGAGGAGCATGAAGCAGCCAGGTAAGTTGCAGTGGGTGTTGCCTTCTGACACACTTCCGGTGATGTCAGGGGTGTGTGGCATATGCAAATAAGTTGTGCTAATGAGTTATGCTAATGAGCTCCTCCACCTCTTTCTCTACGAAATGACCCCTGGCAACAGGTAACAAATGTATTTATTTTATAAGGCAAATGCTGCCTCTAACCTGTGTCATGTGAATCTGACATTCAACAAAGTGTGAGAAAACAGCAAGAATACAATGCAGGAAAAAATAGAAAGATCATACCTAGTACGCTGACAATCACATGTTTTTGGCCCTGGGTTCCTGAGTCCGCAGGATTGAAAACTTCACAGGTGTATATACCGGTCTCTGATGCTCGCATGTTGAAGATAGTTATGGAGGCATTTCCAGTGCTGTTCACGCCTTGGATTCTGCCTCGGAACTCTCCATAGGAACTTGCCTGGCCTCGCTGAGAAAAGTAGATCTGCGGCACAAAATTTAAGATGAATCTGGTAGGCAGCAGGAGACTATACCTTATGGTCAGAGACTTTGGCTGTAGCATGAGCTTCCCACAGTCCCTGTAAGTTCTTTGCTTTATGAAGCCAGCATAAATACATTGGTTCACACAGCATGGGGGTATTCGCCTTAGGTTCTTGTTCAGTAATTTAATTCACAAGGGTTGCAATACTGGAATGGACTCAGTATTAACTACTTGGAATAATAGCAATTATGTAAATTAAGTGATGGTTAAACTTCACCCAGTAGTAACATGAGGAAATATGCCCCATAAGTAAGTGTTTACAAGGTATGTGTTGGAAGTGAAGGCGCTGTCCCCTGTCTCAGGCCTCCAGACTTTGTGGCAAGAGAGACTAGATAGCTAGATAGCCACACTGACCTTTCCTTCCTCTGTTTACTCTTCTGCCACTGTCCCCTTTGAAATGTAGGTCAAATCTGCATTTGTCTTTCCCACCGGTGCCCCAGCCTTCTGACTCCATCTTAAAAAAAAAAACTGTCTACATTTGCTTTCGTTTTCACACTTCAACTGTGCAAGGATATTTTTGCACGTCTGCATATGTTTATGTCTGCATATGGAGAAGACCCTGATGCTGGGAAAGATTGAAGGTCAAAGAAGACGGGGACGGCAAAGGATGAGATGGTTAGACAGTGTCATCGATGCAACGAACATGAAGTTGAGCAAACTTCAGAGGATGGCGGAAGACCGGAAGGCCTGGAGGGAGCTGGTCCATGGGGTCGCAAAGAGTCGGACTCGACTGTGCGACTGAACAACAAATATGTTTATCGCCCTCTCGTGGCGGCTCCATTGTAATTGTGCCTCCGCACTGCTTTAAATGAAACTTCTCCAAACAACATTCAAACAAAAATAGAGAAAGATGGCGTCACAGAAGCACGAAACTAATTTAAAAGTGCAAATGCAGATTCGACCTATATAGATTGTGTTCTCAGGGACAATTTCCTTCCTCCCGTTCCCAAGGATGGCGTCACAGAAGCACGAAACTAATTTAAAAGTGCAAATGCAGATTCGACCTATATAGATTGTGTTCTCAGGGACAATTTCCTTCCTTCCGTTCCCTCTCTCAGACGAAGCTCCCCCTTCTCCCTGCACACACCAAGAGGGACGACATGCCGTCCTCTCTCGGCACCATGGGGCAGAAGGCCCTCTCGCCATCTGCTTCTGTCCTTAGCTAGTAAGTTAGTGCTCTGTCCTATCTCTTCTCTTTCCTATCCAAAAATGTACTTCTCAAAAAAAAAAAAAGAGAGAGAGAAGCATTTCTCTTTGAAACTTCCAACGTAGCTCTTTGTAGCATTGTAAACTGGGTAACCTGGTAAAGCGGTGCTGCTGCATTTGTTGCTTTATTTAAGCACTCCGCTAACTAGTGGAAACTGGACTAACTGGACTATCTACACCTGTTAACCCAAACAGTGTGTACCTGATACTAGCCATATTTACTTAACGAGGTAACCCCAGTGATTGTAATTACAGTTACTCCTAAGTAAGTGTACACTCTCGCCATAGGATTCTTGGTCATTTTTATTTATTTATTTATTTATAGTCAGATTTATACCCCACCCTCCCCGCAAAGCAGGCTCAGGGCGGCTTCCAACAACAAACACGATACAGTATAAAAACATAAATAATACAGAATTAAAACACAGCATTTAAAAATAGTACATTACAAATATCAAAATACTGGCGGCAGTTAAAATCAAACAAATAAAGTGCCTTCCAACGAAGTGCTTCGGTGTTATTCCACATAAAGTGTTTAGATGTTATTCTACTCATTCTTAAGGCAGCCGCTCGATGTTAACATTACAGGCTGTGCGCTAGGGCAGCGGCGGCCCCTAATTGTATGCCTGGCGGAAGAGCTCTGTCTTGTAGGCCTTGCGGAACTGTGAGAGGTCCCGCAGGGCCCTGATCTCCTCCGGGAGCTCGTTCCACCAGGCAGGGGCCATCACCGAAAAGGCCCCGGCTCTAGTAGCAGCTAGCCTGGCCTCCCTTGGGCTAGGGAGGGTCAACCGATTTTGCAACCCAGACTGTAGTGCTTTCTGGGGTATATACGGGGAAAGGCGGTCCCGTAGGTATGTTGGACCCCGGCTATATAGGGCTTTAAAGGTAACTGAAAGGTTTTACTGAAACAAACGAATCTGGCTGTTCACTTGGAATTAATTTCTCTAGTAATATGAACATCACGTTTCTTAAAACAATTTTTTCCTTTAAATTCACAGTTGTTAAAACAAAAGGAGACAAAGATGGTAAGGTCTATTCCCATGTACAACAAGCTTTAGGTTTGTGTGACCAGTAAATGTTGCTTGACTCTGATTACTACATTGATTGTAACCTTTATATCCAAGTACAGGATATTTCAGGCAGCCATAAATACTTTCTTGTACACTGGAGTCCTAGGCCATACTGAAACGAAAGGGTTCAGAAAGATGTTTGGGTAATGAGATAGTTTCAGAGGCAGCCATGTTGGTCGCCACTAGAAGAGCTCGATTCCAGTCCAACAAGATTTTCAGGGTATAAACATTCGAGAGTCAAAGCTCCCTTCATCAGACTTGATGAACTGGACTTGAATCTAGTTGGTAAAGGGATAGAGACTGTAGACTACTGTACGTACTGGCTATCGGTGTAGGTGTGATCCTGCTATGTAATGCTAATGCTTTCAGCTCGGTTTCAGACTTCTGCTTGGTTTTGGATTTCTCCAATCCTAATCCTATTGCACTGCTTACTGGAGGTCCCATCCTGTTGATCGTATTGACTAAACCACCTTAAGTCTCAGAAAGCAAGGTGGGCTATAAATAAAAAAAATGGCTGCCTTTGCCATAGGGATGCCAGCCTTCAGGTGGGACCTGGGGAATCCTCCCAAATTACAGCTCATCTCTAGACCACAGAGATCAGATCCCCTAGAGAAAATAGATGCTATGGCACTGTACCCCACTGAGGTCCCTGTCCTCCCCAGGCTCCATCCCCGAATCTCCAGCGGTTTGCTAACCTTGACCAGGGAACCCTATGAGCCCCCCCAATCCCTTGCCAGTGGCCAGGGGGGGGAGTTGGCAACCTTACTTTGCCATGAAGCCGACCTCCATGGACAACCAGTGTCCCCTCTCAGCTGTGAGCTAGCTCACAGTTTTTTTAGCCTCCGGCTCATACATTTTTGTCTCCGCTCAGGAAGGATGGCTCCAGAACAAACTAATTTATGCAGTCGCCAAATCGCTCGCTCGCAACTTTTAATGCCAGTCGCTCACAGAGTAGAGCATTTGCTCACAAGACTCCACAGCTTAGAGGGAACATTGTGGACAATAGAACCTTCTTGGTTGTGGCTCCCTGCCTGGGGAACTCTTCCATCTGAAATAAGCCAAATCCATTTTCACAGATTTTAGAAATTAATTTAATGTCTTTAAAAAGAAACAAACACCAGTATTTGGTCTGCTTAGTTTGACAGGTGTGTTTGCTGTAATTTTATCATTTTGAACTGCAGTATTTGTAGACCGTATTGATTTATAAATGTTTCATGTTTAATTTTCAAAATGCTACTGCTTGTTGCCTGCTTTGAGAATAGAAAAACCACCTATACATCTTGGGATAAATACATAAAATAAACGAATGGGATGATTTCCAAGATAAGGCTGGCAAAATGGCTCTGGGTAGCAGCCACATGGGAGGTATAACATTTCTATACTGTACTAACAATCTACCTCGGGAGGTGGTGGATGCTCCTTCGCTGGACGTTTTCAAGCGGAAGCTGGACGACCATCTTTCGGGTATGTTGTAGCTATGCTCCTGCAGAGTGCAGGGGGTTGGACTAGATGACCTGCAAGGTCCCTTCCAACTCTAACATTCTACGATTTTATACTTCCCATTTTGTCCAGCCCAGTTACATCGAAAATATCCACACCAGGGTTGCACATGTTAGTGGTGACCGGTGCCGCTGTGGAGACCCTCAGCACCATTTGAATAGTTCAGATGGGAAACCATCCGCAAATTTTGTGGCTTTTCACAGAGCCACTGAGTGTCCCCACTTTTCTAACCACCTCCAAGTGTGTTTCATACTCTCGGCGTTGCCCCGGTTGACACATTGGTCATTTCAACTGCATTAAGTGCTTTACCCAGCACAAAAGAAGCTTTCTGTTGTTCGGCAGAATTTATCAAAAATATTCTGCTCGTTTTCAAATAATTATCAGTCCCTGCCCTGGGGCAGCAACGCCATTCCATTTACAGATTAGCTGACTTCATTTGTATTAGAAGAAACCCTCATGAGACTGGAAGTAGTGTTGACTAATGTTTTTAATCGCACTTATCTGGATACGTCAGTTGACTAAAAGCAGGTTACACCCGTAAGCTATCAAAGGACGGTTGGTTAATGCAAGGGGTGGGTGGGGAATTAAACTTAAAGAAAGGTCATACGACTGAACACTATGCGCTGCAGCATTTCCTTCCCAGTCAAGAGGAAGGAGGTGGTGGCAGTGGAAAGTCCTGTTAAGTCACAGTCAACTTATGGTGACTGTGGAGGGTTTTCAAGGCAAGAGATGTTCAGACATGGTTTGCCAGTGCCTGCAACTGTGTAGGAACCGCAGGTTACACCCGTAAGCTATCAAAGGACTGTTGGTTAATGCAAGGAGGGAGGGGGGGGAATTAAACTTAAAGAAAGGTCATACTACTGAACTCCATGTGCTGCAGAATTTCCTTCCCAGTCAAGAGGAAGGAGATGGTGGCGGTGGAAAGTCCTGTCAAGTCACAGCCAACTTATGGTGACTGTGGAGGGTTTTCAAGGCAAGAGATGTTCAGACATGGTTTGCCAGTGCCTGCAACTGTGTAGGAACCTTGGACTTCCTTGGTGGTCTCCCGTCCACATACTAGCCAGAGCCAACCTAATATGAATAAGATACACTAGGGTCTCTATTGTATTCAAGTATATTATTTATGTCAATATATGAAGGTATAGTAGCATAACAATATTGTCTGTT